TCCCAGAAAGATACCTGCCAAATGTCAGTCTGAGCTCACCTTTATGGGGTGACAATTTGGACATATGGGGGTCAGGGACTGCTTGATGAGACAGTCTGTCTTTTATAGGAGCTCAAGTGCTGAGCTGTGAGCTCCATTGTTCATTCAGAGCTGCTGGGCAGGTACGTTTAAGTCTATTGCAGTAGAACTCATAAACCCCTTTTTTTCCCAGTGCTCTGTCCCAGGGAGTTAGGGCTTTATTTATGAGTGTCTGTTGTGCTGCTGCCTTTTTTTTATAGGATCATATATTGGAATTTTAAAATATTATTTCTGTTGTCTATTTATAGAAAAAGTAGAATTAAATCTCTAATTTACAGATTATACATTTAAGACATAGAAAGCTGTGTAGATCATGAATCAAAATGAATTACGAATGAACACACTGTCAGATAATGCTAATTGAGTATTCTTGAAAATGGATTTTATGGTAAACCAAGACAGAATAAAAAAGAGTTTTTTCTTTCTGATAACTTTCCTTTATAGGGGTTCCCATTCTCTTCAAATTGGTTGTTCACATTGTCCTCTGAGAGACAGCTTCATTATTTTGCAATAAGCTACCTTATATAAATTGGATGTTTTTGTTACTGCAACCAAAATATATTTAATTAAGATAGAGCTGTGACGGATAAATATGTCACTTCCTTTTCTTATTAGGAAAGGTCTCTTAAGGACACAGTACCTCATCTAAGCTGAATGACTGTGGTTGTTGCTTTCCAGGCACTCTGACAGACTAGCAGGAAGGCATGTTGAAGTGTTTCAGATTTCACTGAGCAGGCAGCTGTCTTTCATCTCCACATAAGCCTGCTGGGGATTATAAAGAATCAGATCCAGGCTGTGCTCAAGCTGCATAAAGGCCATATAGGGTAAACAAGACAAAATATGCCCTTCCAGAACTCAGATTGCATATGTGAGCCTATATGACATCCATAATTTTTATGCTTCTTTCTATCCTCCTCTGCACAGCTTGCAGAGCCCCTGAAATTGTGATCTCATCCCCAAAGCTAAGACAGTCTCCTGTTCAGTTCCTGTGCTGAAGTGTACTTTAAAATATTTTAAGCATAACTACTAATTATTGAGGTAATGTTTAGGCAAGGGATGCCACAGACACCTCAGGAGACTCAGGATTCCAGAAAACAATGGATCCAAGGAAACCGCAGGCGTGGGCAGGAGACAGAAAGTAATCTGGATGTATAAATAAAGCACCCACACTTCAGGACTCCCAGCTGTTTTTGACTGGGTAATTCCATGAGGATGGTGGTCATTCACTGGTATCTGCTGAGGCCAGGGCCCTAGGTTTGCAAGCCACGTCATGGATCTTTCTTCTTTCTGAAGCCGAGAGCTGAATGCCCTACTCAATCATGCACACTGCCTCCTGACATCTCTGTATTGTTCTTTACTTCTGTATGTGGGCTTATTTAGCTTCCTTTACATAGGCTTATTCTCTCAGAATCAAAGTGTGAGATGTTTAGAAGAAAATATGTTCATCAAGTTTCTTCTAAGAAATAGGTCAGGATTTTGTCCCAAGCTGCTGATCAATTATATTATTAAATGTTTTAATGTGTTAAAATAATATAACATACACATAATTTAACTCATGCACATTTTAAATGCTATCTGTATCCAAAATTATTGCTGCCTCTTTCTTTGCCCTCTCACACACATATTCTCCCCTTATTTAGCTGCAGATACTCCTGAAAAGATCGCCTCTTGCTAAAGCCCATTTAGAAAAGAGACATTAAAGAAAAGGTGGTCACAGAGGGGGTCCCTGCATCTCTCTTTCTCCATCTGTGGATTTGGGAAGTATTTTATGGACCCTTAATTCGATATTTTTCTTTCTAGTATTAGATATCTTGTTTGGTACTTTATTAATGCTAATCAGAGATTCTGACTTAGATTCTTGTTAGATCCTCCTTCATGCCAAGCACTGAGTTAGCACATGACCAAATGAATGAGTAAGTAAACCGACAGGTATTACAAAAGAACAGAGAGAAATATGTTACAAAGTAAAATTGGTCGTTGTTATTAACATTGTCTCTTGCACAGTAATAATTTATACAGTTTTTATTTCATTGACAGGGAAAACAAGAGAAGGGGAAGTGAGGAGAGTTTAAAAGCAATTTTATATCTTTAGGCAGGTGGGATCTTTTCTTTCAGAGTAACCTGACCTCTGCCCTGTTTTCTCTCTCAACGATGGAATTGCTTTGTGCTTCTCCTTAGACAGATGCCACAGAGAGGAACTAATTCAATATTCATTGCAAAGGGAAAGGATTTGCACTGCTTAGCTTGACAGCCAGTTACATGTAAACTGGTCAGAAAACTTGAGCAAGCCCCAAACATATCACTTTGATGGGAGGAAATGAACACTGCAGGGTATTGGGAGTAGGGAGTTTCAAAAAGGGAATGTAGCCTGATAATTTAATTCAGAACTGCTTTTTTCTTGGCAGTTCACAAATGAAGCAAATGTATGAAAAACCTGGGCATGTCAGAAAGAGATAGCTGTAAGAAAGAATAAGAAAAGGCGTATTTATTGAATACCAAGGCTCTTCAAGACTATCTCAACTGAAGTTTGTCCCTTAAGTGTGAAACTCTGATGAAGAAAACAGAAATTAAATCCTTTGAAATGGTAACTTTTCCCCCAACAGAACACAATGAATGTTGAAAGGGAAAGTAGCCGATGAGAATGTTTTAAATAAATAATGAATTTGCAGTATGTGTGATGAAATGCTTTAGAATTCTTTATATTTTGGAATAGAGGACTACTTATCAAAGCCTGCTTTTTATGGTCCAGCAAGTTCATTGCATTAAAAGGGAAGAAAGTTATTGAATAATCCTAGATTTAATCCTTTTGTTCTCTTTTAATTTGCCTTGACCCATTTTGGAATTCATTGAATATTTTCATCAAACTCCTATTTTATGTTGTAATATAAGGAAGTTCTAAGCACTTAATCCCACTGGGTAGAAAAAGGAGTGAATGAAGAGGGCAAGACAGTAATGATTTCAAGAGAGAAAAAATTGAAGCAGGAGTAAGCAGGTAGGAAATTGCTTCAAAAGCTGGTAACTTTATGGGATGTTCAAGCATTGTGTGAAGAGTTTGAGAACAATATTGAAGAATACAACATGAGAAATACACAAGTCAAGTTGTTTGCCCCTGGCAGTGGGATAGTTATAGAACCTTGGACTGAAACCATCTTTACAAAAATTGTAACTGAGAAGATGATTACAGTGAAAGAGATCTGACCTAATCAATCAAACCCCAGCTTGTCTTTAACCTCCAGTTTGCCTTTGGTCGTTCCTGGGCTTGGACCAAGCTAACTTTGGAGAAAATTTAGCTTATAGTTTAGATAATTATAGCCCTTCCCCAAAACTAAACCATCTTTATAAAACTAATGAAAGGTCACCAGATTAGAAGAATGAGAGGAGCCTGAATTCTGCTAATATATAGGTTAGTTAAGTGATTACCAGCCATTATTTTAAAGGTAACAAGATTTGCAACTTCCCCAATTCATTATTGCAGAAACTAAGATGGGCCATTTGAGACGTCTTTTTAGGCTTTTGCATTTCTGGTGATCAGATGGCCTTACCTGGACCCTCAGTCAGTCTTGTGGGCCCCAGTCAGAAGTAAACTCAGTATATAAGGACCATTTTACCCACACCATGATTGCATTCCTTACTAGTCAGCAGTACCCATTTCCCTAGCTTCTGCCCACCAAACTAGCCTTGAAAAACCCTGGCCTCCAAATTTTCAGAAAGATCAATTTGAGTAATAACTGTTTCCCACATCTCAATTAAACTCTCTCTTTATTGTGATGTCATGGTTTCAGTAAATTGGTTTTGTCTGTGCAATGGGCAGGAAGAACTCATCGTTGGTTACAGTACTTTTAAAAAATCAGTTAGGTCACAGGCTAAAGCTGACTATCTACAGATGTGCTGGATTTCATCCTCAGATGTCTTTGAAGTTTTTCTGAATGTGACTGTCTCTAGACAGAATAGATGAGCTCTAATTCCAGCCACCCCAGCACTTACAATTCCATATCCATCTGGCTGTTTCACTCACTTTATAATCTGTTTTCTGAAGACATTTGAATTTGTGTGATTCTTGATCCATTCCAACCCTCTCATTTGTAAATTGAAGTAACCAATGCCTAGTGAGAACAAGTGTTTCTCAAGATTACCCAAATGGAAACAACATGAGAGGTAGAACACCAGTGACTTCCTGTGTACTTGGGTGTCAGTATAACAGGTCCACAATCCTTCTTCAACAATTCTTGAAATTAAATATTTTTTTGTTACACACTTTTGATAGCAATAGGAGGCAGCCAAATGCTGAGGCAGATAGGGGAGGATCCCTTGTGAAGTCCCACCTTCTGGTCAAAAAAACAGCCTGAAGACTGAAAGAATGGACTACTGGTCCCAGATGAAATCCCCGACCCAGAGTGAGAACTTCTCTTCCTGTTTGCCTGCCCTTCTCCTATTCTGAGCCCATAAAAGCACTGGACTCAGCCATATTATGGAGACTTTCCCACCTTCGGGTAGGGGGACAACCCCTACGTTCCCTCTCTCCTGAAAGCAGTTTTATCACTCAATAAAACCTGCCATGTTGCTCACTTTTTTACTGTCATTGCATCCTATTATTCTTGGGTGTGGGACAAGAACTCAAGAACTAGTGTGCAGGCCAGACTTGGCCTGAGCAGGCTGAGTGGGCCAGGCACCTCCTGTGGCAGTTAGCATGCCCTGAGCAAGGCCAGAGGTCCCCAAAAGACAAAGAGACTGAGTAAAATCCTGCATCATTTAGACACAAACCTATCTTGAACAGATGTTGCCTGTTAGTGAAAATATTCATGTCTCACTGCAAAAATTTATATATAATAATGAATTTGGGGAGCAGTATGCTTAAATGTAATATTGATGGTGTTCTTTTTTGCAACGGGTTTGCCACCAGAACATAGGTGTCATGAAAACTACCCCTAAAAGCCAAAATGGGAAAGGAAAAGACTCGTATCAACATTGTCATCATTGGACATGTAGATTCGGGCAAGTCCACCACTACTGGTCATCTAATCTACAAATGCAGTGACATCGACAAAAGAGCCATTGAAAAATTTGAAAAGGAGGCTGCTGAGATGGGAAAGGGCTCCTTCAAGTATTCCTGGGTCTTGGATAAACTGAAAGCCAGGCATGAACGTGGTATCACCATTGATATCTCCTTGTGGAAATTCGAGACCAGCAAGTACTACGTGACTATCATTGATGCCCCAGGACACAGCGACTTCATCAAAAACATGATTACAGGGACATCTCAGGCTGACTGTGCTGTCCTGATAGTCGCTGCTGGTGTTGGTGAATTTGAAGCTAGTATCTCCAAGAACGGGCAGACCTGAGAGCATGCCCTCCTGGCTTACACTCTAGGTGTGAAACAACTAATTGTTGGTGTTAACAAAATGGATTCCACTGAGCCACCCTACAGCCAGAAGAGATATGAAGAAATCGTTAAGGAAGTCAGCACTTACATTAAGAAAATTGGCTACAACCCCGACACAGTAGCATTTGTGCCAATTTCTGGTTGGAATGTTGACAACATGCTGGAGCCAAGTGCTAACATGCCTTGGTTGAAGGGTTGGAAAGTCACCAGTAAGGGTGGCAAAGCCAGTGGGACCATGCTACTTGAGGCTCTGGACTGCATTCTACCACCAACTCATCCAACTGACAAGCCCTTGCGCCTGCCTGTCCAGGATGTCTATAAAATTGGTGGTAAGTTGATTGTTAATACACTGAATTGGAGTTGGTAAAAGTGCCATCTGCTTTCATCTAATTATTACAGTGTACTGTAAATATTCTTAGGTATTGGTACTGTTCCTCTTGGCCAAGTGGAGACTGGTGTTCTCAAACCTGGTATGGTGGTCACCTTTGCTCCAGTCAACGTTACAACTGAAGTGAAATCTGTTGAAATGCACCATGAAGCTTTGAGTGAAGCTCTTCCTGGGGACAATGTGGGCTTCAATGTCAAGAATGTGTCTGTCAAGGATGTTCATCATGGCAACGTTGCTGGTGACAGCAAGAACGACCCACCAATGGAAGCAGCTGGCTTCACTGCTCAGGTGATTATCCTGAACCATCCAGGCCA